TACTGTGGGTGTTGAGAAATGTCTCAGAGTAATGAGTGAGTGAGAAGATACATAACGTTTTGATGATCTCTGAAGGATGGGCCAGATACTTGCCTCATTGCTTTCTAGAGATATTGTTTAGAGAACTAATTGATGTTGGCCATTTTGGCTACAGATCATTAGGCAAAAGATATGTGATAATCTTAATGTGGAACAGTAAAGTCTTGTGTACTTCATACACTGATACACACCAAGGCAAAGGTAGATAGAGGGATCCGCATTTTTAAAAAGGTTACTATTTTTCAAAGACAAGCTTTTGTTTCCTATGAAGTTAACCTGTCAGAGCTCATTAATCTGCCCTCATTCCAGCTAAGTTGCTGCTGTAATTATGTAAAAAGGAAGCTATCCTCCCCTCCTGTGTTCCCTAATTGCATCTGGGTGATTTTCTAGTTATCCAGACTGGAAATGTCAATGTGATCTTTAATTCATCCTTTTTCGTTTGCTGCCCACTTGCAGCCATTTCCTCTTCTGTCGGTTCTGACAGCTCATCAGCCCACTATGAACTTCTTCCTGCATTGCACCACCACCTGGTTCAAACCTTCGTTCCTCTTCTGTGACTTGTGTTCACCTCTATTCAATCCATTAAACAGGGTGGTCTTCTGCAACTCTGCCCTTCTCTGTCTGCATCTCTGTAGCTGAACCTCACACCTCAAGAAGTAAGTTCAGAAGTGATGGAAAGGGACCATGGCCAGTTCAGTGTGGGTTGTTGTCAAGTAGAATTTTAGGCCGTTGATGCCGGATCTTCAGGTCTTGTAAAAGAAGATGGAAATTCTTGTACTTTTTGTGAAATCTAAAGTTTTTCCTGTTTTTCTGTAATATTTTCTCTATGTAAAGAGAGTAATTTTTACAGTAATATCAGTAAAATCAGTAATATTGGTAATTAGTTTTAAGGATTTAGACTACTGGGGACTGGAGAGATGGCTCAGCAGTTAAGAACACTGACTTGCTCTTCCATAGAACCCAGGTTCAATTCCCAGAACCTATATGGCAATTCACAACTGTCTGTAACTCCTGTTCCAGGTGATTCAACACCCTCTCTGGTTTCTAAGGGTTCTGCACACATGTGGTACATTTATATGCACATAAAATGTACATACACGTAAAATAAAATAATTTAAACTCCATACTTTGATCAAGTCCCTTTACTACTTAATTCTAGGCTGCTCTTCTTGTGTTAGAGGATGTGCTAGATACTTTCTCATTTTGATGTTTAATTGGGATAGTCTATTAGCCTGAAATTCTTCCATTTTTTTTTCATCTCCATCTTTTATCGATTTTCTCTTTTCCTGGCAGTCTAGTCTGCACTTCTTGACAATATATTGTATTGTGTGTGTGGGGGGGGGGTCTCTGTAAACACCAGGGCCAGCAGAGTAACAATCCACATGAGGCAAGAAGAAAATTTGGTTCAGCATAACTCGGTAGCTGGTGTTGGTTCAAACTTCTAGAGTCTGACACTGGGCAGTTTATTTTAGGCATTTTTAAGTCCAGCACAATTTTGGAAAAACAGTTTCCTGATAACAACTCAGTCCTGTGTGCATTAATAGCACTTAAAGTGTGACTGCATTGAAACCCTTTTTGCAAAGTACATGGACCTCTTTTATAACCTTGGGTTCTGTAGCTTAAGGGCCTAGGGAAGATCTGGTGTGGTCTCGGTCATACAGATAGTGCAGAGTGCACCAAGCACATGTGACATCTCCCATAAAGATGGTGTCTTTGTCAGTGTTCTATTGCTGTGAAGAGATACCGTGCATTGTAAAATGGCGGGAGAGAGATCTTGGTTGGCCAAGGGACCATGCGATGAGCAAGAGCCCATGGTAGGTGAGGTACAGGCACAGCATGCAGGCAGAGTTTATGTGGGAGTTTTATTGAGATAAAAGGAGTGGGGGAGAGAAGAGAGGAAGAGGAAGAAGAGGCAAGGACCAGCCTGTCTCTTCAGAAGAGCTGGGAGGAGCGGGGAGAAGAGCAGGAATGGGCAGAGCATGTCTCTTGAAGGGACCTTTTGCACTTGTGTACATGCATAGTGATGTAGCAGCCCTAGGCCTCTGGGCTGGCCAGGGTACTGATTGTGTTCTTCCTACCAGATGACAGGGGCCAGCATAATGCCTGAATTCTAATACTGTGACCATGGCAACTCTTAACAAAAGAAAACATTTAGTTGGAACTGTCTCACAGTTTCAGAGGTGTAGTCCATTGTCATCGTGGTGGGGAGCATGGTAGCATGATGTTGAAGAAGGAGCTGGGAGTTCTACATTTGTATCTGCAGGTATCAGGAGAGAGACTCTGGACTTAAGAATGGGTTTTTTGAAATCTCATAGTGGTGACAACTTCCTCCAAGGCCACACCTATTCATCCTTTCAAATAGTGCTACTGCTTGGTGACCCAGGTATTCAAATCTATGAACCTATGCGGGCCATGCTCATTCCAGTCCCCGCAGCTGGGTTCTAGTGACTGAGAAACAGTGCTCCGGGTAGAGGTCTAGGGAGGAACGACTGAGTCAGATGTGGTCTGGCCCTACAGATAGCACAGGACACCAGGCTGTTAATCCTTTCCCATCCTTCTGGATGGCAAACAGGTTGCACCTCTCTTCTCTTGAAGAAACATCCCTGCTTTCCCTAGTGCTTATCTGTGAGCACAGGGACCCGGTGCCTTCTGTATGTACCTCTGTTGGGTTGGTTTGACAAGACACCAATTACTTGTTGTATTTCTTTAAACTCTTCATTAGCCTGTGTCTTAAAAAAAACTTACTGAGTTTGTTCTTTGATAATTTCATATATGTATAACATGTATAACATGCATTCTGGTTATTGGCCCCTCACCTCTGCAATCACTCACTCGTAAAACCCCTCCTTTCCCACATTCATGATTTTGTTATTGTTTTGTTCTTTAAGAGCCACTGAGTTTAACCAGGATCATCTGTGTGACCATGGGTTTTAACTGTCTCCTGGAGCCTCGTAGCTCCTCAGTGAATATACAGCTCAAGAGTGCCCCTTCCCTAGAGTGCGTCAGGAGTGTTCATCAGGATGGGAGTGGCTCTGAGGGCATGACTGCATTGGTTCACCACCCTTCTCTCTGTCTTCCAGCTCTTAAATTCTTTCTACCTCCTCTTTCTCCCAGTTTCCTCAGTCTCAGAGGCAGTGATACAAATGTTCTTCTGTTCCAGGATTAGCACTCAGCCTTCACTTTTCTCAGCCTTCACTTTTCTCAGCCTCCTGCTCCCCAAGCCCCAGCCATGGTCCTCTGCCCTCACCACTGTTTACTACAAGGAGAAACTTCTTTGATTGAGGTTGGGAGTGTCTTTATGAATATAAACATATAAAAATATAAACACACCATAGCGTTTTAGCCAAATAATAGTATTAAGTTCACTACTCTGATATGGTTAATTTTTATTTTATGTGTGTGTGTGTGTGTGCGTGTGTGTGTGTACACATACATATTTGCCTGCATGTAATTTAAACAGAAGAGGGTTTGGGATCACAGGAACTAGAGACATTTGTGAGCCAGTGCTAGGATATAGACGTGAGTCCTCTGCAAGAACAAGTACTCTTTACCCCGGAGCCATCTCTCCAGCTCCCATCAGCCATGTTTTATGTTTTTGGTTTTTTAAGACAGGGTTTCTCTGTAGCTTTTGGAGCCTGTCCTGAAACTTGCTTTGTAGACCAGGCTAGCATCAAATTCAAAGAGATCTGCCTGTCTCTGCCTCCCAGGGGCTGGGATTAAAGGCGTCTACCACCACCACCCAATTTAGCCACAGGTTTTTGAGCAGGTTTACAGTATTAGGGTTGAACTCCACTCTTGTGGAGCAGGCCTCAATCCGATCAAAGAGCAGTTGCTATCCTCGAAACAGACAAGCCACTGTACACCAGTGGGCACATCTTTCCTGGCGGGTTGATGTTGTAGACTGCTCTGGGACTTTTTAGGACAAGGGCTTGTGCTTTTTCTCAATGCCTAATGGATATAGAAGACTTGTAATGAGAGAATGAATGAGGGATTTAATGATACAGGTTAAAACCAAGCTGAGTGTTGAGGAGAAACAGTGGTTTCTACTTGGTCTTTGCACCTCAATCCTCTAATACATTTATATAGTTTGTGGTACAAGTCAGGTGTTCTGGATCATCTTTGAACTTGTTTTATTTCTTTTGTTCAAATACTATCTGCAGATATTTCTCACCTAAAGAATAAAGTCTACACTTTGAGCTGTGATATTTGAGGTTTTCCACAGTTGAGCCTTAACTCTCTTTTTTATTTATTTCCTCTCTTCTTCCTCCCTACTCCCTCCCTCCATCTTTTCATTCTTCCCCTTTTTGTTTTGGAGGGGGAGGTCCTAAGATTAAACCCAGTGCTCTTACACTAGCTATACCCTAGCCTGACTCCTCCCGCTAGAGCTGATCACTCATTCGTGATGATTTTAAGATTTTCTTAGCTAGAAAGATGACTCAGCAGTCCAGAGTGCTTGACCCAGGTTTGGTTCCCAACACGCATATGGGGATTCACAATCATCTTTAACTCCATTTCCAAGGGATTTTTGACTACATGTTCTGATGTCTTTGGGCACTAGGTATATATGACAGTATACATAGTTACATGCAGGCAAGATACTCATCTACCTGAATTCAGTCTTTAAAAAACAAGACTTGGTTAGATAAATGAAATCTTTACAGACAGACAAAGGAAATAGTGAGATACCCATTCATTCTCTGCTAAAGGTTAAAAGTTCTTACTACTAATAATTAGAAGATCATTATTTAGTTAATATAGTTAGGAGAGGTTATAGTAGTGTTATAAAGTAGTGGGGTTTCTCTGACAATCTTTTCTTACAGGATTACAAATAAGAGAAAAAGATAAGCAGTTGAAATGAATTTAATGTTTTGTGCAACAAGAATGGACATGTCTTTAGATTTTTACTTATATCTGAAAGTAATATGCAATCTAAGTAATTTTAAATATTTTTTCTCTTTTAGGAATCAAGGAAGGACTGAGGTGAGATTATATGAAAATTTTATTGAAATTGTGAGCTGGACTTGGTGGTGCATTTCTGTAGTTCCAGCACTTGGGAGGAAGGGGTGGGTGGATCAGGAGTTCAGGGACATCCTTTGCTACTAAGTAAGCTCCAGGCCAGCCTGAACTACCTGGGATCTTTGTTTACAAAGAATCAGCAACAACAATAAACCACAGTGAAAATATTTAATCACCAGTAATAGTAGTTTGCATTCTGGAAAATTCTATTTGAAATGGATGTCTGCTGATCAGGAATACATAAAAGTATAAATGCTACTTGGATGAATGAATAGACTCTTCTAATTCAGTCTGAGCATTTTTCTTCTTTGATCTAACTATCCCTCTTAGCATTGTAAAACAGAATATGGTTTTACTAATACTTTAGGATTACTTCTGTGGGACAAAGACATTTGATGTGGATTTTTCAGGATGTTAGATTTGGAACTGTTGAGTCTAGTTTGTACTGTGTATATCACACCTATCATAATAGTAGCTTTATAGTTAATAATTCATGATCATCCTGTCTAGTTAAAAAATCAGTGATTTTATAAATATTTTTAGTATAAAATTTGTTCAGGAGAGATGGCATATGGTATAAATCATTTGGAAAGAATACTTACTTTTCTATACATACGACTGAATTATTCTTCAAAATAGTATATTTTAAGTATTTAAAAATAAGATAGTGCTATATATTCATGCAATTAGTTGTTAAGCCTATGAATGAAATTTATGCTGTGCATAGAGAGTTTAAGCTTTTTTGAGTAACTAGTTTGTTCTTTACCCTTTTAAGATACAGGTTTTTTTTTTCAGTATTAAAATACTCATTCAGTAAACGTTACTTTCCTTTTGTGTGCCAAGCACATGCTAGGTCTTAGGGAATGTGTCAGTTAAAAAGTAACTTCAGACTTGTTCTGAAAAGACTTCTTCAGCCACAAACCAGAGAAGACGTTGGTAGACAAACTTCATCATTCTGACACATGGGGATAAGTCTTTTGTTTATGACTTAAGAATTAAGGATTTCATGGTGACATTTAAGAAATAAATGTTTAAGAGACTCACATCTTTAAAAAGTTTTAAAAAATAATTTGCAATCAAAATGTTTGTATAGATACTTTGAATATGAATGTCTATTTTAATAAACTTTGGTTAATTTGTCCACTAGGTATCATTTACTTTGAATGAGGATCTTGCAAATATTCATGATATTGGTGGAAAACCAGCATCAGTCAGTGCTCCTAGAGAGCATCCATTTGTTTTGCAAAGTGTTGGAGGACAGACATTAACAGTGTTTACTGAGAGCTCCTCAGGTAAGGGGGAACAGAATTCTGTACAGTGATTCCAGTACATGTTGTGTGGGCTTTCTGTCTCATCCTGCACACGGTGGTTTTGTGTAAGGTCCATCACCACCTATTGTTGTGTCTACCTGTGTGTCTCATTCTGCTCTTGTATTTTTCTTGTGGTGAATGAAATTCTGGCCATTACCCAGGAAGAGTTTAATACCCATTTGGGTATGAACTTCTAGAACAAAACAGATGGAAGAGTGTGCTGTTGAGCTGCTCTCCAAGATTCTGAATCTTGCCGAGCTAAGGCAGCCCTGGCTTGCTTTGTTGAATTGATAAAGAGCAAATATAAATTATGCTTTATACAGTGCTTACAATTAGGAAATGGGTTAGTTTGCATTTCTGTGCTTGTGTGCTTTGTGTTTTGAGAAGCCTTTATATTTTATAAAGATTAACTTTTATTGTTATTAGCTTCCAGAATGAAGTATAGTTTTTAAATTGTGTGTGATAGCAATGTGACATTTAAGCATTTGTTTCAGTTTGTGAATTAAATGTGTGGGGGGGGACTTGCTGGCTTGTTTTTTACCTTTCTCTTTCACTGAATTTAGAACATTGCTGTTAAAGCAGCGCTCGCTCTCCAGTCATTAGAATTTTATCCTAATTCAAAAAGTTACTGGTTATGTAAAAGAAGAAAATTAATTTAGTTGTATTTCAAGCATTTTAAAGCAAACTGTAAGATATGTATGTCAAGAACGTTGTTGCTTTAAAAAGCCTCATGAAGCTTTTTTGTCATAGCTTGGATTTTCGTAACTGTGAACTGATCTATTGGCTTTCTATAGCTGCATAAACTCGTCTGTTGAATTTCCAGTGGTTGTCTAAACTGATCTTGTCTTTTCTTTTTTCCTCCTTGACAGAGAATCTAAAACAATGATGAATATAACTTTAGGGATATGAAACCAGAGCTAAAGGATTGATTTTACTTTTTATTATTTTGATGCTGCATTAATTTGTTGTGTAGTGCTCAGGGAGGTAGAAGATGCACTGTTATGTTGGGGAAGGTTCAGCCAGTCAGTAGTCATTTATATGTGTTCATTGTTCAGAGCGCAGTGCATGTGCAAACAAGCAGTGTGCAGTTAGTCTTTGGAATGATAGGATTGAAGACTGTTGACCCTGTGAGACTTCTCTATTGAGCAAGACTGGCTTGGGAGAGGCTCAAACTTGCCTAGCAGAAAAAGTATCTTCTTTGTGTTTTTTAAATAACTATGTGACTAGTCTTTCCAAAGAGTGCTTCAGCTCTTACTGTGATTCAGAAAACTAGTATGTGTTATTCTCAAAAATTGTTCTTTAGTTTTCATCTTTTAAATTCTTCGGTGTACTCTTTGTGAACATTTTGTGTTCTCGTTTCTGGTAGCAAGTGTACTCCCAGTGATGTGGCTTCAGGCTTCTCTTGGCAGTTATGGGAAGGATGCAGATTGTCCTCATACTGTCGTGTCTACCCGTGTGTCTCATGTCATGCGGTCTTTCTGCTCTTGTGTTTTTCTTGTGGTGAATGAAAATTTGACCATTACCTGAGAAGAACGTAATTCCCATTTGGATATGAACTTACAGAACAAAAAGAGTGTTTGGACTAGAGTTGATACAGTGTGTTCTTGCCTTGTAGAATTGAAGGAACTTTTTGTAGCACATCAACTTACTTTGTACATGGGAATTTTTTTTTTTTGCTTCCTCTTCTGATTATTTTCTTTTATAAGTCATTGCCCTTGACTTTTGTACGTTTCTGTACTTCTAGTTCTTACGTTGTGAAATCTGGATAATTATCTACATTTGCATTTTAAATTTGTTCAAAATAAATAGAATGGTGCTTGTCATCACTGGAAAGGAGAGACAGGTGGACCTTGGAGCTTGTTGGCCAGCCAGTTTAGCTGACTCTGAGCTCCAGGTTTGATGAGAGACCTGTCTCAAAAAACAAACTGTAGATGATTAAGGAAGATGCCTCACATCTACCTCTAGTCTCCACACATATGCATGCACTGTACATACAAATAAGGTGGAAAAGTAATTGTGGGAGATAACTGTGTTGACCTCTGCCTTCTAAACAACCTGCATGTATGCAAACACATGCACAGATAAAAGCTTAAAAATAAATAAATATTTAAACTGTTTTAGATAATATACCCCTCTATAAAATGTTGACATTTATAAAAGGAATTAGTGTTGTTTAAGTTCGATATGTATAGAGTTTTAGTTTTAATAACTTTACTCCTTCTTTTAATGTAATTTTGTTGGTTTTTGAGAGACTTTCTTTGAGCTCTACATATTTGAATGTCTGTGGGAGATGGAATTAGAGGGGACTAATAGTGTACTTTATAATGCTGTTCTCTAGTTAGTCAAAACTACCTTCATAGCATTAGCATTTTATCAACCAAAATAATTTGTTCCTGGTTGATTGTTTGACTTTTTTTGTGTTAGCTCCTCTACCTCTTAAATTCTTTGGGAACTTCTAGAAGGTTCATTTCCCAATTCAGTGTTTTGTGGGGATCTCTATCTTTTATCTATGCCTTTTTTTATCTCTCTCTGGAAATGCCTCGTATACTTTCCCTTTATAATTCTGTATTTTGGGTGTTCAGTTTACTAGTTTTCTATAAATTTTAAATTATGTTTATGTTTTGTATTAATGTGCGTAGGCATGCAAAAAATGCATGTACTATAGTGTGTGTGTGTGTGTGTCTGTCTGTCTGTCTGTCTAGGTCCGAGGACAGCTTGTGGGAGTTGACTTCTGTTTCTACCATGTGAGTCCCAGATTGAAGCTGGGGTGGCCATGATTGGGGCAAGTGCCCTCACCTACTGAGCCATCCTTTGCCTTTCTTTATAATTGCCAATTCTGGACCGAAAGTCTTCATTTCTCTGTTGCACAGATTTTCTAATGCCAGGTCCTGTGCTAGTACAGGACAAAATTCCTGTCCACTGGTACAGCTAATGTTTGGTAACAATTGCTACAGTTAGTCCTTGAACGGTTCAGTACCAAGAAAAGAGTGTGTACTTTGCCAGAAGGTATTGGGAAGGTCTTCAGAAGTGCAGAGATATGGACGAGACCTTGGAATATATGAGCAATTGCATGAATAGGAGAAAAAGAAACAAAGATAACATTCATTTTTTTTTTAATGTTGAATTGTTGCTGACTGGTCTTCATTTTGCCTTCATTTTACCTGTTTACAATTTTGCTCTACCTTAACAATCCAACTGAGCGTCCCAGTTAAAGTAAGCAGAAAAGCTCAGTTGTAAGATGTTTGAGTTGGGGTGCAGTGAGAATAGAAAGGGGGATTATGTTTTAGAAATAGCAGAGATCATGACAGCCTCTGGTGATGTGAAGGTTTGGAGGCTAAGAGGGTAAAGTGGTTTCCAGGTCTGGGGCGTGAACATCCGGATAGGTGAAAACTGAAGGAGATACTAAAAGTGACAGGCAGGACTTCTTTGCTCTGATTTACTTCTTCCTTCCTTCCTTCCTTCCTTCCTTCCTTCCTTCCTTCCTTCCTTTCTATCTCTTGGTAACAGTTCATTAATTCAGCAGGTTGATGTTTCTGCCTACTTTGTGCATGTCCTCTTTTAATCGTAGAAAACCTAAGTGAGCAAAGTCTCACCCTTTGTGTGCTTGCTCCTCCTGTAGAGGAGACAGCGATGAATAGTGAACAAGTGAACTATGTCTCAGACTGCAGGTTGTCTGGGGAAATGGAATGAGGTATATACACTGGTTGTTTTTTGTCAACTTGACATAAACTACAGTCCCCAGGCAAGGGGGAACTTCAAATGTGGGATTGTCTTCATCAGATTGGCCTCTGGGCGTGTCTGTGGGGGCATTTTTTCTTGATTAATGCTTAATGATGCAGGCTCAGTCTGCTGGGCGGTGCCAACCCTGGGCAGGTGTTCCTTGATTGCAGAAAGAAGCAAGCTGAGCAGAACTAGGAAGCCAGTATGGAGTATGCCTCCATGGATCCTTCCCTGACTTCTCAGTGATGAACTGGTGGTGTAGGAGGTCCTTCTTTCTATGTGTTGCTTGTATTGGTTAATGAATAAAGAAACTGCCTTGGCCTGATAGGGCAGAGTTTAGGTAGGCAGGGAAGACAGAACTGAATGCTGGAAGAAAGAAAAGCAGAGTCAGAGATACGCCATGGATCCTCCAGAGACAGACGCTGGGAATTTTACCTGGTAAGCCACTGCCACATGGCGCTACACAGATGAATAGAAATGGATTAAATTAAGATGTAAGAGTTAACCAATAAGAAGTTAGAACTTAATGGGCCAAGCAGTGATTTAATTAATACAGTTTCTGTGTGGTTATTTCAGGGCTAAGCTAGCCAGGCAGCCAGGACGAACAAGTGGCCCCTCCTTGCAACAGACTGGGATTGTGAAGTGTAAGCCAGATAAGCCCTTTCCTCCCTAACTTGCTTTCTGGTCATGGGCATAGAAACAAAGCAAACTAGAACCAGAGAGTTGGACTTTGCTGTGACGGACAAAAGCATATTTTTTTGGGGAGAATTGTGGAAGCGTTAAGAACTTTGGGCTAGAAAAGCTGTTGAGTGCTTAGACTTTAAAGCACAGTTTGGGGAGCCTTGAAGGAAGAATGTTGAGAGTAGTGCACATGATGGAGGCCTAGCTTGGGAAGTTTCAGAGGGAAGCAGTACTCTATCAGACAGACTCTTTTTGTGTGATATTTTGCAATAAGAATCTGGAATTGAAGCCTTTGCTTAACTGGGGCTGAAGAATTAGCTGTGATTAATAAGAGACTAACATCACTCATCACTGAGTAGAATCTTGTGGGATGTGTTTCCTCAGGCAGGGTCAGCATAGAGATACTGTGAGAGGGCCAAGCTGCACATCAAACAGGCAGCAGAACTTGGTAATTAATGTGTGAGAGTTTTCCATGTGCTGGTTTTAGTGGCGTGAAAGCTGCAAGACTGAAGCAGTCATGAGAGAAGCTGAAGGCAGCTCTGCCAGTCTGCTGTTAGCCTGCCTAATGCCTCCAGGTCAGG